AAGTCTTCTCTGTAATTTATTCTGTCAGACGGTAACCCTCCAAACAATTTGATACTTCATTTAAACATTGGTAAATGGCTCATGGAAATACAAAGAAAAAAGCGATCTAATGATGATCGGATAAGAAACTCTCTGTTTGCAGAATGAATCCTATGTGAAATGTTGTGAATTAACCTGACTCATTCACTTATTGAGCATTGATTGAGCACCTACCTTGTACAGCACATATCTGTAGATGGATTGGTCCTTTCTTCCTCCCTTCCTCCACTCCTCCCTTCATCCCTGTCTTCTTCAACATTATGTAGCACTTACTGTTCAAAAGGAACAATATTAGGAGCTAGGGTAGGATTAAGAAGAACCAGACGTGAGTCTTTCTCTGAAGAGTCTAACATTCCCAAAGTGGAAAGAAAACATGCATACAGACGTTCCCCACAATGTCCTACTCTCGAGACCTATATGCCTTTGCACACTCAGTTCTTTCTGCCTAGAATTCCCTTTCCCCCTTATTTTCTGGGGTCTTCCCATTTATCCTTTGAAACTCAGTTCAAGGTCACCTTCTTTCTCAAGTATACCCCGATGCTCTTCCCCCATTCCTGCCCCGAGCCCGTTTGATGCACTGTACACACCTTTAATAGAAAGCTTGTCATATTATATTGTGATTGTTAGTTTCTTTGTCTGTCTGTTTTATGAGATTGTGAGCTCCTTGAGAAAGGGACTGTGTTTTAATCATCTGTGTAGCAGTAGCACATAGCAGGAGACCTGCAATATAATAGGCACTCGGTAAACATATGTGCTGTGAATAACTGGATGAATGGATAAGTGTGGAACAAAATTAAGACGTGCAAAGCATTCTATATAGAAGGACAGATATGGTGCAATGGGATCTGGGGGTGGAAACTATTACTAAGGGAGATGGGGTGTCAGGGAAGATTCCTTGGATGGGCAAGATGTGGGAGCTGTGACTTGAGAGTTAACAAAGTGCGGGTCAGGGTGTCTGCAGAGAAAGCCACTTGAGCAATGGCACAGAGGTGGGAGGGGTAAATCCCAAAGGGAGAGGGATGAGCTCCTCAGACTATTTGCAGCACAGGTTACCTGAACTTTACTCGTGGGAGAAAGGTCAGACTGGATTGAGGATGTCGATGCCTGAATTGTGCTTGGAATTTCTTATTGACAATTTTATCTACAATGCAAAGAAGAGTTCAGAATGGGAAGAATAAATGAAGCTATGGTAGAGACATAGGGGCTTCCTGCAGGCTCTACTTTTAAGACCAGATACCTGCGTTGGTGTTGGCAGTACTTTAATATCTAGGCTAAGTCTTGCCAAGACAATAAACTGTTTTCCAAAAGGAATGTGGAAGAGGGGCGACCAGCATTTGCCTTTCCCCCACGCCCCTTCTGCCGCGCTAGCCCAGTGTTCTCTGGCTGCTCTCACTGCTGCCTCCAGAATAACCCATGATGCCACAGAAACATTCCCGGGATGCAGTGGTCCCTTCTCCATGACCTAGGGCCTTGCTTCATGCTTCTGGCCTTGACTGATCAACAGACACCAAGACAGCCAATTCCTGAGAGTAAACATCCAGGTCGTGCTGCCTTGACCTTTTTCTTTGAAATCCCGGTAGCTGGGCTTTACCCCAAACCTTCTGATTTACAACTCTCCCTCACCTTGGACACTTGCCAGAATTCAGAAAATTCTCAGCTCTATCCCTTACCCTTCTGTTGCCTTCCTCATCCCAGCTCATCAGGGGGTCATCTTTGTTGTTGGGCTTGAGAGCCAGAAGTCTAAGGAAAGGAGACCTTGATTCTACATAACCTTGTTTCCTTTCTTCAATGCTTTGTCATCCTTAGTAGGAAAGACAAGGCCTGGGTTTAGTACTCGTCCTGCCAGGACAGTCTCTGGCCTCAGTCCTTTCATAAATGAACTCAGAGTCGCACCATGTGATGTTTAAGGTCCCTCTTGGCTCCAACTGTCTTGGTTGTGCTGATAAAATCTACTTGAAGACATGGGCAATTTTGAGGCTCAGTGAACAAGTATTTGCATGATGCTCCAGGTTGCTAAAATGAATGTGATAATACAACTGTGGGATTAGCAGAATTCTAATGTATTTGTATTTCTAAGCATCTATATTATGTCTTCATGGTTGAGCTCAGAGAAAGTGGAGACATATCCCCTCAATGACTGTTCGTTTCCAAACGAATGAGCTACTTTCAGAGCAATCCTTTTTAACATGTCATAAAGCTAACTGTGGGAAAGGATAATGTTACAAATATCTTTAAGCACTTCACGCGCGCGCACACACACTGCTACACTTTGCAAGGCAATGTTAGGTATCATCAGGCGTTAAGAATGTTTTGATTTTAAAACACTTAATGAGGATTCCCAGATAAATTAAAACATCTCCATCTGCTGTCTTGCATGGTAGGTGATATTTTACCATTGCACAATCATCTCCAAATCTAATTCCACCAGGAAGACTTCTAATCGCAGTTTAATTTTAGAGCAATATTCTACTTGGCAATCAATAAGACACTGTCGTCAAACTTTGATTTAATAGGAGACGTGGATGACATTCTCTGCATTATGCAGAGAGAGAAATATTTTCGGGAAAGGGAGAGAAGGGGGAAGAACGTCTTTGTCTCCCATTTTCCTCTTGCTGCACACCATTCTAGCGCACAAAAGCCTATAAATCAATGTCCCCGTGTTGTGTGAATATAAATCCCATCAATTTTACATCATTAACACCATCAAAAAGCTACTGCTCTTTGAGCAATTTTCTCTGCTAGCTAAATATGTCCTCCTAATAAAACAAAAATGAGTAGGTTCTGACTATTTTACTAACAAACACTTCCTTCTTCACCAACTTTGTGTCAAATCCATTAGAATTATACAGTCGCTTAAGGGACCAAGATGACTGGGCATTGACACCACCCGGCAAGCCTGGTGCCTAGGATGACTGGCCCAATGACAACCTGGACAGGGCGTGAAGACGAAGGAAGAATTCTAAGAGTAAGCTGAGAGTTAGCACATGGTCAGACCCTAGAGGGTTAAGGAGAGGCAGAATATTCTACTGCAGCAAATGATTCCTAAGGTCAGAAGCCTGGAAAGATTGCAATAGGCTGAGGAATGGATATTTTGGAAAGTCAGTGGTCTAGAACTAAGGAGATGACCATCATAAAAGCTAGAGGCCCACTGTTTCTGGAGGCTGGTTTTGTTGTAGGAGGTACTAATGTCTTAAAAGATGTGGTGGACAGAAAAGAAGCTTAGAGAATATCTACTACAGTGGTTCCCAGTGTTTTCATAACCAGCTTCCCCTGTGTTACATTTCTTCCTCTCTCCGTGGACTCAGTCATGGAAATGATTTTGTCCACCAAATAAACTGTATTTATAATCATTAGTTTTCCTATTTGGACTATTTAAGCCCGTAACTCATTGTCAATAAGATAATATACTCAAATATGAGCTAAGGAATATAAAAACACTAACCCGATATAATTCCCAATAAACTTGCCATTTTCGTTGTCAAGCATAATAAATATGCAGACTTATTAGGAATAATTATAGATTTCTGTTTAGCTTTTTGAGATTTTGAAAATTGCTTGAAGCTTCTTTTCATTACCTTTAATGACCCCTATAGATCCAGGGCTTTGGGTTAAGAGCCATTGATCTGATACATGCCTCCCATTTACTAGAGAAATGTATTTAGACACAGAGAGGTAGGTAAAGTATGTGCCTTGTGTTTACACAGTGACTAGAATTCAAACCTCCTGATACCCGGTATAATGAAAAGGCCCTTTATAAGGACTTTGAGCATACCATAAACACCCAGATGTATATGTACACTTTTACAGAGTACTGTTAAATGACAATTTGCTTTAAGTAGGTTTAGTATGGGAAAATAACCATAAAGATCACTATCACCTAATAGGATGGTGAACATTATTTATTGAAGCTCAGATAATACAGGCAAAAAGGTCAATTTTAAAAGGTTTTCAAATTACTGACCATCAATCCTAATTTACTATAGTTCAACAGTTGTGGACCAGGCACAATGCAAGATGCTAGATGACAGAGAAGAGGAAGACAGAGCCTGGTGGAAAAGACAGGCAAGAAGTCATGTAAATATATCAGAGAGGGAAGGCCCACAAAATGGGAAGCCTGGGGAAGCAGTGCTGTGTGAGGAATCCATCAGGAGTTTCAGTATCACTAGAGACTAACATTCTGTGAAAACATAAAAGTGGTAGGAATTATTTCTGCAGGGAGAAGGAAGGCAAGGCTTGTTCAGGGGGAGTTTCACAGAGGTGGTGCTATTTCAAATGGCCATTGAAAGAGAAATAGGATGTGACCAAGTGGATAAAGGAATCCATCCACATTGAAGACACAGGGACCAACCCATGAAAAGTCTCAGAGATTTTGAGGCCCCACCTATACCCCCAAATGGTGACTTAGGGCAAAACAGAGAAAGGCATTCCTTCCTCAACACACTGTATTACCATCTGCTGGAAAAGTGTTGTCACCATGTAACTCGACTGTGGATCTTAATGACACCCCTGGAATTGTGCAGTTGCACACCCTTCCCCACAGCTCCTAGAAGGCCTGGGTATGTAAATGTGTTATTGAATGTGTGTAATTGAATGTATGTAAATGTGTTATTGAATATCAAGCCAAAACTTGGACTACTAAGTCCCGTCATGAAAAAAAAAGGAACAGAAGCCTACCACTGACTTTAACTGAGTAGCTCCAGCAGGCTGAATGCAGCTACCGCCACACATGCTCACTCAGCATATGAACAGTCCCGTGTCTCTCTCTGGTCGTGGCACTAAGACCACGGAGGGAAGCCTCCATTTCTCAGGGGCAGGCGCAGCTTTTTCTCCTTCCATCTGGACCAACCAGCTTTTCCAAAGCCCTTCGGGCCTGTTCGTGCATAGCTGAAGCACGTCTCTTATTGATCAACAGCTTGAAGGGAAAGTCCCCTGAAAGACGCTCTTCCTTGTGTCTCCGATAGGCCCTTCAGCACCATCATGCTGTTCACGAAATCTCCTACATCGCGAAGGACATCACAGACCACCGGGCCTTTGGATACGTGTGTGGGAAGGAAGGGAATCACAGATTCGTGGCCATAAAAACAGCCCAGGCAGTGAGTATCCCTGTCAAAGGGAGGGCACCTTTACCTGTGACGGTGGGGACAGCACAGGGGCTCTGCTGGTCTTCAAAGGCCCTCTGACATATGACCAGGCTGTGGCTCAGGCTCCCATCTAGAAAAGACGAACAGTCTCGGGGCAGGGAAACATGCTCCTACTACCCATCCAGTTTTTTGTTTCTTTCTCTAATGGGCACTTCCTAATGACTAATTATTTTCCTTTCTGATTAAGCTGGATGGAGGCACAGTATACAAATAAGTTTCCTTGTGCTCATAGCCTCATTTAAAAAGAAAATAAGAGGAAACAAATAGCTGTTTTGCATAAGGCCTGCCCTAATTTTATTGTATTCGAAATCACTAATAAATAAAAGCAATGCCTTTTATGCTTATGATTATTATGAATTTGCAAATATAATTAGTTGAAGAAATGAACTTTAGCCTAGATGCAATTTGCTAAACCAATATAAACAAGGTGGAATTAATTAAGAATGGAATGCTTTCAGTTTAATAGAAAAAGGAAGGGCTGCGGGTTGTAGCTGCAAAAAACAAAAATCGGTCATTGCATCTCTGCACCATTCCCTTATTAATGTGCTTTGTCACCTTTCACTCCAGGCTGAACCTGTTATTCTGGACTTGAGAGATCTCTTTCAACTCATTTATGAATTGAAGCAAAGAGAAGAATTAGAAAAAAAGGCACAAAAGGATAAGCAGTGCGAACAAGCTGTGTACCAGGTATACCTGTGAATTTATCCTCATACTGGAGAAGATTGGGGGCTTCAAATAAGCAGATGTGAAAACTGACAGCCGGGGCTTCTCTTCCTGCCGCCAAGTAGAAATAAACAAAGATGAAAGGTTCCTGTGTAAATTACAGGCACCCAAAAGCAAGCCATTGGAAATGATCCCTTATTCTCTGAAACTCTTGACATGTTAAAGAAAGTGAAATCTTTAATTCAGAGGAAGATTTCAGGGGAGGAGGACTAAAGATGTATACAATTGCTTTTGCTGTTGCTAACAGTGGGGGTTGGGGGAGGGGTAGCTACAAGGGTTTTCGCTTTTCTGTGTTTTCTGCCTTAATGACTCACCAGCCTCTTCTGCCCAGGGCTGGTTTCTTAACTGTCCTGTAGTTTCTGAATACAGTCTCACATCTCTTCCTTTATGTCCTCTGCTTCTCACCCTCCTTCCCCTCACTCCATGCTAGACAATTTTGGAAGAGGATGTTGAAGACCCTGTGTACCAGGTAATTTCTGAAACTAGTCGGGGTTTTAGGCTCAGGCGTGGCGAGGCCTGCGGCACAGCCATTTTGTCTGAAACCGGGAGAATCCACTAACTGCAGAACCCAGAGAGGGACCAGGACTATTTCTAAGGCGAGGGCAGCCAGCCTCCCCAGCAGCGAATTTCCATAGAGACTCACAGAAGCTTGGCCAGCGTCAGCATCGTGGGATTCACAGATCCGCGTCTCCCTTCCTGCCCCTGCCTCAGTCCCCTCCACAATCTGTAAAAGTTTGATCCGAGAGCTGAATGTTTTCAAGAGTCTGTTGAATATTCCAAGTTCATTAGAGAGAGTATGAATAATGAGGTTGGCTTCTACGAGTTAAGAGCCAGAGGTGGGGACTGACATTTTGGTAACATTTAGAGCACAAACCCAAAGGATGGTTTGTGAGCTTGAGAAAGGCTGTGAGAAGTCTCTCCGACCCCCAGTGGGGCAGCCTGACCCTCGGATCACCTGGATCGTGCCATAGGGGCTGTTTTGAGGAAGGCAAGAGTGATCCCAGAGACGTCTCTGCCTGTAGCTTTCCCTGCGCTCTCTTCAAAGTCTGTATGTAGCCCAGGGGTGGGTAAAGAGATGACCTCTCTTGGGTTCAAGTATGTGTTCTGTTCAGAGATGCAGAAAAAAGGAAAGAAATGGCGGCTTCTCCCTCCTCTGTACTTATTCCCAAGGAGAGAAGGAAGCCCCAAAATACTGACTTCTTGAACACAAAAGAAAACCTCGAATTTATATTTCTAACCAGGATGCATAAGTATTATTAATATATGTGTGTGTCACATATGTATTTTATATTAATGCATACTTTCACACAGACAGCTGGCACTGCTATATTGAAAGTAAAATAATATAGATAACTTGAAGTAGGAGAAATATCTAGCGTACATGGTAAACAAAAGTCAAAGATGCACTTAATGACATGTCTTTGCTTTAAAATGCTAAGGGGTAAGGATTTGTTTAGATTTAATAATATGAGCTTCAACCCTTGCCTAACTGGCTTGCAGAGAAAAGTATCCTTTTTGAAATGTCCCAGACCTTTTGAGTCTAAAACATGCACATGGAAAAACTGATTTTCAGTATGTAAAAGCGAGAATGTAAAATAAGGTGGTAGTTATGGGATAAGGAATTTGGGGGCTTCTGAGTGCTTCAGAGTTGGTTTAGGATCTTGAGCTTTAGGGAGCACAGAGAGGAACTCAACTATAACCCACAGTTCACAAAGTTTGGGATCCCAGGCATTCCCATGAGATTGCACTCTCACTCAGTAATACCAGCAGATTCAGACCTTACTGAGACAAAAGGCCACTCTGAATGAAGAGGTTGCATCTCCAGAAAGATCTGCAGGGGCCTGATGTCATCACTGCTAAACGACTGACCAGCAGACCTTTGCAGTTTTCTTTAGAAAAGGCAGGACTGTGCAAGGCACAATTTTATTTCAGTAATCCAGTTTTGTCTTTAAGGCATTTTCTCTTGTGCCTGTTTCTTAAATGCTCACTGTGATTTGTATCTTAAATTCCAAATGCTTTTTTTTTCCTCTTTCTTTTTCATTTCTGACTTTTCCTTTCTGGCCGCTCCTGCAATAGTACATTGTGTTTGAGGCTGGACACGAGCCAATCCGTGATCCCGAAATGGAAGAAAACATTTATCAGGTATAAAATTGCTTGCCTCTCTTCCCATTGCACCACTACCGGTAAATGCATAAAGGCACTGATGGGGCTGAGGAACCAAGGGGGCTTTGGTCATTCCTGGCTTGTTAAAGTACCTTTGAGTGTATTGGCTTCTAGTTCCCTTGTAATTTACCAGTAGTTTTCATGCCTTGTTGTTGAAATGTTTAATGGACAGTTGGATACTGTGTGTTCCTTTTGAATGGATAGTAACTCTTGTTAAGTAGAAACAAAAATCAAACATTCCATTTTACTAAATTAATACATTGGAAAGTTATTGCCCAGCATATAATAGGGTCCTCGTTCTTCAAATGAATATGCTCATCACATTTCTTTAAAAAGCCAACTCTACTACAACAAATACGGATTCAGAAATGCTATTTGAAAACAACATGGGGAATATTAACAATTAAGGGAAGTATAGCTAACGGTTTTGCCCCTCATAAAGGAAAAGTAAATTACTTTTCTTAAATGTCCATATGAAGAATACTGAACATCCTTTTTAACTCTTTTAATTCTCATAGATATGCTACACAGTAAGTATTTTGATCCCAATTTTACAAGGGAAAAGCTGAGACTCAGGGAAGTTGAGTAACTTCCTCAGGATTATACAACTATTTAGAGCCAAAATTCAAACATAGGTTCAGGCAGCTTCTACTATGGTTTCCCATCAAAGCATTGAGTAATTACAGCATAGAAGTCCATCAAATTGATATGGTGACCTGCAATTTTTCTCTCATTAGAATTTTAGTCCTAATCTGTAATGTAGACATTATGGGAAAAGGAAAAAATTTAATGTATTTAATACATGATTTTAATTTTCTTTATTTCTTTTAGTTGTGTGGTCTATTATCCTGCCTTGGGCATATATTACTTGTGTAATCAAAGTAAAACATACTTTCAATTTCTATCAAATGCATAGAATGCTAAATGACCAAAATATAATGTTAGTTCTATCAATAACTTGGTTTAAACCAGCCTTGTGGAATAATAATCTTAAGTATTTCTCTCCACTGGATCCATCTGGATTCTATTCAAATGTTAGGTTGTGCTTTGAGGCTTTGTTTAAAGTCATCACTTACAAAGTATCTTTACAAAGAAAAGTTGCTTTTGTCCCCAGTGTCAGATTTTAAAGTATGCACAACCTTGCTGTGTCTGAAGATGAGGCCAAAGGAACCATTAACCAGTCATCCTAGGAAGAGAAAGCACCTTTTAAATAAAAGGAAGCTTTGCAGTATTAGAGGTTTCTGAATCCAGACTTAGCTAAAGTTGGCAGAGCTCCCTTTGAGCCCTGTGAGACTGCAGTGGGGGAGAGGGAGGGGGAAGGGAGGCATCCCAGTGCACTAAAAAGAACTGGTTTAGGAGGCTGGTGGAGAGCTGGGTTGTAGTTCTGGCTCCTTCACAAAGCTGTGTGGCAGTGGGCAAGGCACTTGCGGTCTCCGAGACTCAGTTTTCCCAGTGATAAAACAGGGGAATAATTTCTTCCTAATGTACATATCGCGAGAATGAAACAAGCTCATGTGTAGACTGTAAAGAAGAGGCGTCATCCCGAGTCCCAGAACATGGAGTCTGGCCGTTGTGGATTCAGTATCATAGCACAAGTACCAGCTCAGCCATGAACTCAACCGACTTCCTTTTCCTCTCTGGGCCTCATTTGTAAAATGAGCAAGTGAGACTCAAGAATCTCTCAGGCAAGGCTCTTTTCAGATCTTTGCAACTAGTGCCGTAGCACAGGACTCTGATTCTTGAGAGAAGCACGTTGTCTGGCTTTATAGGGTAACGAGACTCAGAAATGGGGCGTGTGCGTGCACGCATGTGTGCGCAGGCGTCGTGGGCTGGCTCTGAATGGGCTTTACCTGCAATATCTTACTCTCTCTCACAGCGGCCCCACATGGCTTGAATCATCATTCCCACCTTACAGATAAGGACAGTGAGGCTCACAGAGATAAGGTTATCTTGCCCAGGGTCACAGAGCTGGCAAGAAGTAGAACCCTACCTCTGTAAATAAATAAATACATCCTGAGGCTGTTCTCGGCACAGAGCTCCCTGATTCTGAGTTTCACAATTATATTCTGTGCGCCTTTGAAGACACTATCTACAAATCACACTGGTTTTAACAGGTCTGACCTCAGGATCTTCCCATCTGTCCATCATTAACAGGAAGCTGCCATTTAAGGGAATGAATATTTTATTGGCTGCCATTGGAAAGGCCTCTCTGGTCATTTTCTTCGCCTGCATTGCCAGTCTGCTGGGGCTCAATTTACTTAATAAGAGATAAGCTCTTGGGCCTAAAAGATAAGGCTGGGCTTTTAAGTAGCTGCTATTAGGAACCTCATTCTTTTTTTTTTTTCTTTTTCTTTTTTCTTTTTAAGGGCCTTCACGTGTTCTGTAGCTATTTCTCCTGAGTGGTTTCCAATGTTTGTTATACTTCTGCTTGGCCCAGGGTCATATCAGCTTTTATTCACTGCCTTGTTTTCTGAAATGAGGCAGATAGACCTGGTGAAGTACATGATTTTTGTCTCTCAGTGTCCTGGGCAATAAAATGGCGATAATCTATTCTCTGCTCCTAGAAGTGCTGTGAAAATATGAAGTGAGGAGAACAGTTGGTCCATAGTAGGTTCTGTAGAAATGTGAGTTTCCTTTACTTCCTCCTGTCATCAATTTCAGATGCCGCCATAGGGTATCTTATGATGACGTTTTAACTGAAGCAGAATATATAACTTGCTGACCCCATCTTGTCAGAGATCCTAAGAAATCTTCAAGCTCACCTCACTTCCCTATTTCTAACTCCAGCATAAGGGTGGCAGAGCCTCTTGAGTAAACCTAACCTCTTTTCAAGGATCAGTAGTCTCACTTTCCCATCTGCATTAATAATAATAATTCGTTTTCACTTTGCATGCCTCAAAAAAAAGGGATAGCCTGTCTTTTTAAAACAACACAGAGCCTCACAGTATAAAGCTTTTTTATACATCACTTAATTTTGACCCTTCCAGTAACTTGGTGAGATAGGAAAAACAGCTACAGTGTCTATCATTTTAAACATACGAAAATCAAGTTCCCTAAATTGAAGTGCTGAGTCAGAGGCCAGAACCTCTGATTCTAAATCTAGTGTTCTTTAATACCTTAACAAGCTTCTTACATAGATAAGATTTTGTCTTTGTAAGTAGGTATTTTCCAACTTCATTCAAAAAATCATTGTTAAGCACGCTACATGTGTCAACTATCATTAGGTTAAAATGATAAGTCACCAGAACTATGTCACCCAAGACACCCTTGAACTGCCTCTCCACACTGTTAATTAGCATGTTGCTGAAATAGAAGAGCCTTCTGTATGTACAGTACTGAATATATAGCTTTTGGAGTAATTTAACATCTATTAGCGTGCTCATTCAGAAAGTAATTATTAAATATTTATAGAGCACCTCACATGTCCCCTACACATGGGAATGTAATAATGACAATGGCATGGTCCCCACCTTCAGGAGTTTATAGACGACCCCCTAGATGCTCAGGACATCCAGATGAGGAAACTGAGGTTCAGAGAGTCAAGTGACCTCTCTCAGTCACAGCCTGTGGCAGAGCCAGAATTAGGAACCAGTCTTCTGGTTCCTTTCAGAAACTTTTATCTCTTTCCAACGTTGTGTTGTTGAAATGGTCTGTTTAGATGGAGTGAACCAGCTAGGCAGAGATGAGCGTCAGGACCACGGAACTTTGCACTCATGCAGTGAATGTTTGATGACTAGACATTTTTTTTGTTTCACTAAGATTGACAGATGGGTGCACAATGATAATAAAATACCCACCCCGCCCTCAGCAAACTTACAGAGCCGTGGGACTACAGACCTAAGTGTGGTGCGATCACTCCCACGATAAGACAAAGCACATTTCAACTCTGTTTAAGAAGCCTGATTACTTCTCCATCTCCCCCAGTAAGACCAGGAGCTCTGTTAAATCAGGGGCCATATCCAGCTTGTTCACCATCATTGTCCCAGGAAAAGCACAGGGCACGGTTCATAATAGGTACTTGGTAACTTATATTTTTTTAATGAAAGGACGCATCGGAGGTTACTAGAGTACAGAGGAAGGCTCCCAATCAGATCTAGAGAGTCGGGCAAGGCTTCCAAGAAGATGTCCCAGCTGAGATAAATCTTAATGGACAAAAAGGCAGGTTGATATCTCACCCATGGGAGAGCCCAGTAGAAAAGCATTTTCAATTACGCACAGTTTAGGTTTATCCATTCCAGCGCTCCTCCTGCATTTGCGGGGATAATTGAGGCAGCTGCGGTTCAACTGTGCTAAGGGCCCGTAGTGAGCAGTGAATTACAGGGAACAGAATGCTCTTCATTTTGCTCAGTAAAGGGTGAGCTAGTAAAAACAAAAGTGAGGGGTGGTAATTTATTGGCCCTCATTACGAAGGACTCTGTCGGCATTCTCAGATTCCTTTTAGATGGAGCTTGGTTATCAGGAGCAAAGAAATGACATTCTTCACTGGCTACCCGCACACTGAGGCTTGCAAGAGCAACTCATAGTGCTGTTTTCTGCAAGAGTGTGCCTGAGCTTCTGGGAATATAGGATGTGATGGCAAAGAAAAAGGCACACCTGAAACAGCTGTCTGTATCGCGTAGCAGTCAAATGGCAAACTATCCTGGGCTCAAATTTGTGGCTTTCCTACTCACTCCAGGACCCTCTCCAAGCATCAGTTTTCCTCCTCTTCAACATGAGGACAATTGTAGTTCTTACCTGTTAGGCCTGTCCTGGGGATTGCATGAGAATGTGTATAAAACACAAATGTTTAGAACAAAGCCTGGCACATCGAAAGCACTCGGTCCAGGTTAGCTGATGCTGTTAATGATAAATGTCTTGTTCAGTAGCCAGAAAGAGCTAAGTTTGAACCTGATCACTTACCAGCTTTGAGGCTCTGGGCAAAGTCCCTAGCATCTCTGAGCCTCACTTTCTGCTATTTAAAGTGGAGAGCCAGGAGCAACTTCTTAGGATCATTATAAGGATTTAAAGTTAAATGAGAATGAAAATGACAAAGGAACTCAAAGGATATGCTCAAATTCTTACTTCTTCTAGAAGAACGGTATGCTCCAAACCTAACGTATACTTTTTCTTTTTCTTTATTATTCCCAACATTCCTCTACGGTACATTTACCCAGCAGACATTTAATCAGTGCCTACAGGGTAGGGTGTTAGGCACTATGCCTGCTCTTAAAGAGCTCCCAATCTGATGGAAAGAAAGACATGTCATCAGACCATTATAAAGCCACTGCTGGCTGGTCCCTGCAGTGGAGGTGTGAGCTAAGCTGTGGCAGTTGCTGGGTAAGGAAAACTAAGAAGTGCTGCCAATCTAGAGTAGACTGCAGAGCCTTTGATTGACTCATTAGAAAAGTATTCAATGTATCCACCATGGTTAATATCCTAAAATATGTTCATATACATACTTACATAATGTGTCAGTGACTAAAAAGTTATTCGAGCACATTACAGTATTGTACCTAATAGTTTTTGTTTATCTACTATCCATTTTCTCATTTGGTTCTTACCATAACCTAAGTAAGAGGCAGAGCTGGTACTAGTGAAGCCCAGAGGAGCTGAGTGACCTCCTCAGTCACAGTTAGCATGTGGCCCAGGAAGACCAAGTGGATGAGTAAGGGAAGAGAGGAAGGTGCAGATAAAAGCAGCCAAGACCTGGAGCCTAGCCCCATTCTTTCCATGCCACTATGGGCTCTATTCTTGAATGAAAACCTTTGGTAATTATCAGATGGCTTATACGTGACCCCAACAGAAGCTGTACTTTGTACTAGGATCTTGATGTTTGCTATATTTTAAATAGCCTGAATCTCAGACTTAGTGATAAGCAGTTTAAGCTCAGCTATAAACTGTTCTTAATCACTTTGGGCAAAGCATAGCACCTCCCTGGGCATCATTTTTTCTTTAGTGAAATGAGGATTATTTTTTTGGCCACACAATCCCTGAAGTCTCTACAGCTTTCTGTTCTGTGACTCTGTGAGGAGCTCAATGTCAGAGGGCCCCTGTAAACATTTGTTAAGTGATGCCCAACCCCTCTCCTCATCCAGTTGTCCTAAGGGGAGGAGCCTGGCAGATGCTTTGACAGTTAGAGCAGGTCCCCTGGGACTTATGTCAGGGTCCATTTTCATGTACACGTAGCCAGCTTGGCATTGAAGTGTAGTTGGTTTGTTCTTTAAAAGTGGCATGCCAGAGTGTTTTGACAGTGCTGAATCTGATTTTTCCATAGGTTCCTACCAGCCAAAAGAAGGAAGGTGTTTATGATGTGCCAAAAAGTCAACCTGTAAGTGTAAGTACATCTCTCTTCTGCCGCCAGGTTTCTGTGGCCTGTATTCACGCTGAGATTGTGTCTGCAACCTGCAGAAGGGAACCCCTCTCCTGGAATGAATGTCACGATGTGTATGGCTCTGCTGGGGACTGCATGCTGGGGACCCCTCAGTGGGCCCGAGGGCAGGGGCATAAGGCAGACATGGTAGGGCTGAGGAGGGTGTGCCAGTCTGGATCAGGAGCTGCTCCTGTGAGTGGGAGTGAGTTGAATGATGCAAATCACTCTGTCCGAGGGACTCGAGGTCTCAGGTGTTCCATGGCAAAGATCTCCAGCCAAGGCTTTACTGTACCTCGTCAGGTAGAGTACAGTGTCTTCTTTCCAGGAAAAGAGCTGCTCATCCAATTTGAAATTCGTGGAGAAGTTTCAAGGGGATGATAGGAGAAGGGCTGGTCTGGGCTGTTGGGGTGTGTAAGTTCAGCCAGTGGGAAGAGCATTATGGAAAAGGCCATGTGCGGCGTGCCTGCAGAGAACCCAGGAGACATGCTGCGTTCAGGCCAGCAAGGTCCAATGCGTCTCGACCCCAGGGGCTAGTGGGACTCCTGGGAACCTGAGACAGGATGGAAAAGCCTCAGTTTTGTGCTATTGCCCCAACCCACTGCCAGGCCCAGAACTCATATTTAAGACCTCCAACTGGCACTCGGAAGCAACATCTAGATATCATTCAGGCAGCACTGGGGAGCCAATGAAGGCTCTTGAGCTGGGGGCACATATATATGACTTTGCTATAGCCAATATAAAAGGGTGCTTAGCCATTATTGATCTCATTCATGTCAACGATGTGTGGAAAGAGAAAAGGCTTTGACATCATCCAAGCATTCAAGAATCCCAGCTCTGTCCCTGATAGAGCTGTTGTGAGGCTAAAATGAATCTGCCTGGGACACTGTTCTCTGTTCTGGACCCCACACTCTGGGAGACATAAAGACATGCCCGCATGTGGCAAGGTAAGATTAATAAAGGCATTTGAAGCCCCGCCCCATGAGAAGCAGCTGAAGGACCCAGAAATGTTTGGCCTGGAGAAAAGAATCCACAAATGTGAGATGGGACTCCAAAGGACGCTGTATGGAGGAGGGATTATATTGTTCTGTGTTAGCCAAATCCTGGGACTGAGACCAGCGGGTGGCACTGTAAGAAAGCCAATTCCAGCTCAGAGTGAGCGTGACCTTCCTCACCATCAGAGCTGTCCAGGGGTGGAACAGCCGGCATGGTGAGAGAGTGTGCTCACCTCCACTGGCGCTGTGCGGGCAAAGCCTGGCACGCCGCTTGTCACAAAGACAACCAGGGCGATTTAGACGAGTGGGGAGCTGGACCGGGGAGCGCTTCCCGTCCCTTCCAGACTTGGCAGTCTGTATTCTCCCAGCTGGGAGTCTTTGTGGTCCATTCTCACCCTTCCCTGCCCCCTCCTCCCTCTTTTCCTAGTGAAACTTCTTTCTGATGCATGTCCATTTCTCTAACCCATTCTGCCAGTATCTTAAAACCACCATCCTCCACCTAAATAGCACTTCTGAAACCCCACGCATGTTAGCTTTAATGGAAAAGCGTGACCAAATGCATGTCCTTTTTCAAAAACTCTAGTCCAGGGACCCGCGTCAGTGTGGAGCTGCTCGGGGAAAAAGCAGTTTTTCTCCCTAAGGCCTCTGCATCTCATCAAGCTCCCTTGTCACTAAGACGCTGGCCTGCTCTTTGCGTTTCAATTCGGCCCAGCCCCCATGACACTGTTCCCTACAATTCAATTTGTGCCTGAATTGCCTCACTTGTCCCTAACAGGTTGAGATATGTGAGGAAACATGCTCCATTTGCTGCCTTGGTTTTTGTGAATTTATTAGCCCTTCTGGCCACACCATCTCCATGCTTAATAGCTCCAGGGGAAAAAAAAATCTGAGCTCCCTAGCTTAAAATCCACGGCAGGTTGCCTGAATGTCGCCCCACAGCCTACGTGTCTAATCTGCCTCCTTGTCCAGGCCCACCGAGTGCTACTTTCCTGAAGGAGTCACCCCTCTTCCTACTCTCTGGGCAGCCCTTCCCCAACGTCCGACTTTGCTCCATGCTTTGTGTTCTCGGGGAGACTGTCCAGACTTCTGCTCTGAGTGGCATCAGCAGAGCACCCCTGCCTTGGTGTCCCCAGACCCTCTTATGCCTCTTTTAACAGGACGTCTTCTCCATCACCCCTGTCACCTCCCTGAGGCCCTTGTGTTACTGGAAGCAAGCTCAGGGCCCGTATGTGGAAGCCAGCACCACACGGCTGCTCTAGGAACATTTAAGAAATATGAATGACTCTATCCTGTAGAAGGAATTTATGAAAATCACTGGTAGTTTCTTTTAAAGGGAATTCCCGTTTTTCTGATTCCAAAATAGTCATGAACTTAGCGCGCTGGAAGTTTTGCTTGGGAAGTATCTGGGCTGGCTGAATAGCATGCAGCTGTTCCCTTGGAGTCCTGGAACCACTGATGGTGATGACAACTTTGCTGTGAGCTATTTTCAACATGTATAAGAGCCTAAGAGAAGCAGGAAGTAAGAAGCTCAGGCTATGATGTAGAGAGACAGGTGGATGCAATTGGAATCTGAGCTCCTCCTCTTTCTACCTGTGGGATTTTTCTTATTTTTTTTGCCCCTCAGTCCTAGTGTTCTCATCTAACAAGAGGGATCATTGAATGTAACTTGAGGAAAAAATAGTGTATGTATTTCAAGATTCATTCCTCTTGCCCAAACTTCCCACCATGGCAGGCAGTGAATACCCCACATCCTTTCCTGCTCTGGCTTCCTGCCCTTTGGATTCCTGCCCTCCAGGCTTCCCCCTGTAGACCTGCCTCTCTGACGAGTGCACACTCCCTAGGGTGCCTCCGTGCTCTGAAATCCTTGCCATGATCTGCTCCTGTTTGTTCATGTCTTGCCACTGTTTGCTCCTTCACCACCTTCCTCTTACTCAGGAAGACAAATAAACCAGAGATAACCCAATGACTTCATGTTAAGCAGCTTGCAGGGAATTCTGGGACTTCCACAAGTTTCTCACAAGAAGGGAACTGCCCAATGGCCTGTGGTTCTAGGTTCTACCTAGTTCATTCTTCCTTCAGTCCAGGTCTGCGAGAGCGCAAAAAAGAGACTCAGCCTGTCCTTGGAGAAATCATCCATTAGCGCGCGCGCGCGAGCGTGCACACACACACACACACACACACACACACACACACCTGCGGCAAAAAAAGTGGCCTGATGTTCAGAGTCAGATCTGGGCATAGCCATCACCTGGCCACTTCCTGGGGGTCCCTAAGCAATTTTTGCATGTCTGATCCTCTATGTTGTTATCTGTAAAAAGAAAGTAATGTAAAGTAAAAATAAAGTAATATAACTTTGTTTGGAGGATTAGAGACATTTATGAAAAAACCTTAACAGAGGATGTGAATTAGATTACATGAGAACGTTTCCATGTGTTGCTGTTACAAGCAGTGCTCCAGCAGATAGTTACCACTGAGCTGAGGACTGTCCACCATGCTAGGTGATTACATACCCTCTTTGGAAAGCCTTCTTTACCCTAAACAGGTTATAATCCCTCTGGGGTACCTTCCTCCCTGTCTTTGCAACGATCATAATGGATTGTCTTTGTCTCTTAACATATCCATGTGAGCCATTGACTTTGAGTTCCTCAAAAACCTTGGCTGAAATCCTATCTCATGCAGCTTTGTAATCTTAGCACATAGCCAGTACCTAAAACCTAGTTGTCATTGAAGACTGGGGTAGTAACCCATGTTGTGAAAGAGATCTGAGTTCAAATCCTGACTTCATTACTGGCTTTATGATCTTGAGTGAATCCTTTGCTCTATTCAATCTTTAGTCTTCTCCACTACATAATGGCAATAGGAAAACCAAATTCAATCAGTTCTAAGAGTTTAAATAGATTAATAACAGTAGTCACTCAGTAATATGCATCAGCAGTTAATGGACAATGATGTTTCTTGCATTGACTTGCTCACCAAGAGTGGTCACTTCTCCATATCTCCTGAATTATGAGTCCGTTGAAGTCAGGAGTCCTATCATTTCATGTCCTGATCACCAGTGAGCACTGTCACAGGGTAGCTGCTCAAGCAGTAAATGAATGAGTGAGCGGATGAATGCACAAAAAAATAAATGAACAAGTGAATGAGTGCATGAAGAATAAAGAAAGAAATGAACGCCCTTAGACCAAAAGCTCATCTATTATTAGACAATTAGGTTCTTTTTCCTTCTGGGTCCAAAGACATTGTGTCAAACTAAGAGTCTTTGTTTTCAAAGAAGCCCCTTACCTGGCACCTCATTGCACTTTGTGTTCAACGCTCTTGCCCTATTCCACCTCCAATCTCCATAAATATGTGGGGTTTTTTTTCCTGATAGCTTGGCTCACCAAGCTGACAGGTGGCCTTCTAAATACAAACATACACAGCACGCACCTGTGTTCACTCCCCTCCCACATCAGGAACTGCATCCGTCAACGCCAAAACATTTTGCTTGCTTGACAAGGCTAGTTTGGATTGGGGATTCTTTTTTCCTCCCTTGGGTTAAACTTTCCTGCAGGGGCCCTGTGAAAAGAATTCAGAGTCATCAAAGCTCTTTAATTTTCTTTAAGTGGGGCCTGTTCACTATAACATATTAGGGACACAATCTGACAGAATTCAGAATCAGCATAATTCTTCTGCCTAGAAACCCCTAGAACTATTTGTATGTCGCACAGAAGGGTGGGGAAAGGATTTGGGCCCAATGACTTTGCCAGATGTTTGTCTGAAAACCACTATAATTTGTTGCATGTTAAGAGTGTGATCGGTTCTACCTCTTGCCTTGTCTCAGTGTAAAATTAGAGACAGCAATTACATAGTCCATTTCTCAACCTATGCTCAACTGCAGACTTTCTTTATAAAAATCAAAATTTTCCATAGCAAGGTGATAGATAATAGAGGTAAAAGAAAGGACCTACATTCCATCTCATCACCATCATACTG